GTTTTTGATTCATATTAGGTGCTCACTAAATGTTGACCGAGTTGGATTTCTATCAGGCAAAAAGCTGACTGAGCAATCTCTTTCAAATATGAGACAGTAAAAGCCTCTGCGTACAACCAGTTGAAGAGTTGAGACCACCAGTAAATTGTAATCAGCTGTCTCTCCTCAAGGCAGAATTTTCCTCCTTGAAGGCTATTTTTTCCCCAGCCTCAGCCTAGCTACAATTTGTCCTAATGCAAACCCCATAGATCTATAGTTGGCTGTTCCATTCCATACTCAGGTTAATCACACAGATTAATTTGCAGGTACACTGAACAAACTCTGATTGTGATTATAGAGTCGAAGATTTAAAAGAAAGACCATAACTGTGGCCCACGTTTCATAAAGTCCCTAATTTTTTTTTTTTTAAAGATTGTATTTATTCATTTGAGACACAGAGATACAGAGAGAGAGCATGAGCAGGGGAGAGGCAGAGGGAGAGGGAGAAGCAGGCTCCCCGCTGAGCTAGGAGCCCGATGTGGGGCTCGATCCCAGGACCCTGGGATCATGACCTGAGCTGAAGGCAGATGCTTAACCATCTGAGCCACCCAGGCGCCCCCTATAAAGTCCCTAATGTAAAGTATCTTTCTTGGTGTCATTTCTAGTACTCTATAATGTGAGTATGCCAACCCCAGGGGATGCCCCAGATTATCCACTGAAAACACAAAAATTCCCACTGTATAAATATGCATCTGTATGTGCATATATATCATATGCACACATTATTTGATTAAACCAATAAAAAAGATGCAATGTTTCCCTAGACTTTCACTAATAGACTGACACTGGAATCTCGCTGCAAGAACTGGCAGCCCGTGGGGTGGGAGAGGGCTCCTCCAGGAGGGTGGAATCCTGCAGTGTAGAGGGGCCGACTGTGGCTCTTTTGTCCCTTTGCTTTCAGCATAGTTCAAGTTACTGCTCTTTACATGCACCCAGTTAAACAGATTTATCTATTATCTACTTTTAACTAAGCTTCACAGAAAGACACATGGCTTATCAAGTTTCCTGCAAAGAAACTGCAGTTTGAGGACAATAATATGCATGAAAACACAAGAGAACTTTGAACTCTCTGTTGGCCACCTTGTGGGGTAAAGAAACAATGATAATCTAATCAGATCTGTCAAGAAGCCAGGCCAAAAAAATAATTAGAAATGATCAAGAAAGCGATCTGAAATATGGAACCACAACTTCTAATGAAAAAAGCTGAATTTCACCCTACGGGCACCCTGAGTTCTGAGATTATTAGCCAGTGATTGAACATGTGTACCATTTATAAACTAATATATGCAAAGATAGGGAGTTGCAAGTTCAAAAATATTTTATTAAGAGAGTGCATGATCAAAAGAATTTGGAGACTGCTGGCCCGTTCTTGCTTCTAAAAACATTTTTTTTTTTTTTATTTCTTTCTGATCATTCTGGTCAGTTGTAGAAAACTTTGAAATGCATGGAAGCTTTGAGAAAATATCACCCATATTCTTACCACCACAACATAAACATTATTCACATTTGGTGAAATGTCTCTGCTATCCCAACCATTTCATATAAAATGTCTTTCGTAGGGGGAAGCTGAACCCACAGGAAACACTTTACAGAACATCATGTTCCACCATGGGTCACACTGTCTGGTCTCCATGGAGGCTAAGAAGTTATGTCAGGAATGCAGCTGCAGTCCTGGCTTTTAAGCAGTTGCCTATACATTTGGGATAAGTTTCCTTCTTGGTGGGGGTGTCCTATGACCTCAGCCCAGGTTATCCTATGGGCATCATACACACCATTCTCACTGAGGAAAAGGAGTCTGGCACAGCAACTCCTGTACTATCTTAATTTTTAAATTAATTAGCCCATCTCAGCCATCGGTGACATGGTTAAGGAGTCATGCTTAGATTCCCAGATGTCAGGGGCGCAGGCCTGCTCTGGTTTTCAGTAATCCCCAGGAATTTCGAGTATGTCCATCAAATGCCTTCCTCGAGGGAAGGACCCCATAGCTGAAGGTTCTGCAGTGACAGCCCCTGTCCTGGCTAATGTCAGCTCTGACATGTCCCTCACTATACAAGCCGCCCTCGGTTTCACACTCTGACCCTTCCCTAGATGTTTGCTCGTCATCCCCCACAGTGAAACACTAGCTGGTATTTGAAATAATCTCATCACCCTCAAAAATAACTTCTGACAATCTGAGTTGAAGCAGAACTTTTTCATAGGGTTGGCAGGATTTCCATATCAATCTGAGATGAAATGCAGCCATTTCCCAAGCTTTGGGCCACACCCCAGATGGGGCACAAGACCCCTTCTAAAACCTGGATGTCACTGCCTAAACCAGAGGGTGCTGAACCAAATCACTATTTTTATCTCCCTCATTTTTTTTTAAATTTTATTTATTTATTTGACAGAGAGAGACACAGCAAGAGAGGGAACACAAGCAGGGGGAGTGGGAGAGGGAGAAGCAGGCTTCCCGCGGAGCAGGGAGCCCGATGCGGGGCTCGATCCCAGGACCCTGGGATCATTACCTGAGCCGAAGGCAGACGCTTAACGACTGAGCCACTCAGGTGCCCCATATCTCCCTCATTTTATTAGACCCTCATACTGTGTCCTCACTTTTGCTCTACTACATTATCAACTATTCAAGTTTTTGTGCCATATGGGGGTTGCCGGGGTGGCCGGGGGGGGGTGGAGAGAATTTTTATACAATACAAAGGCTGAAGAATTCAAATCCTATAATTGAAATAACAAGCTCCTCTGGTGCAACATTTAAATAGGATCCAATCTTAAAGTATTGGATTTATAGTTTGCTTTTTTGTTTTAAAGGATAATTTTGGCATATACTCTGGATTGTTTCTCAAGAGTGGGAATGGATTTTCCAGAATCGCTTTAGGCAAACACACCCTATTGATGCCCCCTACCTCCTCCGGCTAATGTCAGGGGTGCAGTTCATGGCAAAGTGAAGCTATCTGACCCATTCTGCGACTAAGCCAGCAACCCTGACCTCAAAACCATGCCATCTAATGAAATAAAACCTAAACATCCAAACCCTCAGATGATTTCCTTCCTCTTAAGCAGTTTTTTATGTGGACAGGGAATGAGAGGAGATTAAATAGAGACTACAAGAGCAGAATCACCACACCTGCTAACATAATTTCCCAACAGATACATTCACCTTTGGCAGGCGCAGTGGAGCTGGGGAGGGATGGTGGGAGTGCCTGGGGCTGGCGCCACTGCAATCATATGTAACTCTGTTTATTTCAGTGAGCCTCACTCCCAAGTACCAAAGATTAACAACTCACACCCCCTCTTTCCTTTCTTTGTTACCTTCATCACCCCAGCTTTATGAAGTTCACCACATTCTCTCTGCTGTCTGCCCAAATCTCTAATTTTCCACTAGTATTTTCATTGTTCTTTCAACAATTTTAAGTATACATTTATTTTTCTTAAAGTTTATTTATTTTAAGCAATCTCTACACCCAACGTGGGGCTTGAACTCACGACCCTGAGATCAAGAGTCACGCACACCTCCAACGGAGTCGGCCAGGCACCCCACAACTTATGTTTTAATACTACTTCCTACCTGAAATCCTTTTGAGCGTAGATTCAAAATAAATTAAGTAAAAAGTACACATAAATACACCTAAAGTTATAGAATAAGCTGGAAGGATAATCAAGATCTAGATTTAAAGACTTATCTTTTCCTTTGTTCTGGAAACTGTCCAGAATGCCCCTTTTTGAACAGGTAGTCTTAAGCAAGAAATTGCAGTGGCTTCCAGGGAGGCAAAAGTAGATGTGTGGTTATAAGAGGAAAAAGACTGTAAGACAGGGATAGGAAGGATTGTTTCAGGACTGCTTTCCTTTTAATATTTGTGATTCTCAATATAAACTCTGTTGCTCACAGAATTGAAGAAGAGTATCTTTTGCCAGGACAGTTCTCTGGTCCTGGCTGGGACTAGGATTGGGATATGGGAATTGCAACATTAAAAAAAAAAAAAAAGCCATTTCCGTCCAAACCAGTTTCATGAAGTTTCCACAGATATTGTTGGGAAGCTCATTCCCAGACACCCAGAAGCCCCAACTGTGAGGAGCTGGTTGGAATGCAAAACAAAATTTTAAAAAATGATGGGTGGAGAGCGCTTTCCCTCAGACCACACCAGCAGGGAGCAAAGAGAAGATAGTGCCTCTTTAATTTAACCCTTTCCCATCCCTGAAAAGGACAAAGTGCCTTGGGTGTTGGATACTCTTCACACCCCAGGAACCCTACTGGCCTGGCTTTAGTTACTGTTTCAAAGTAGAAAATAATAAAAGGTGGATATTATGTGGAACAGACATTATTAATAGGCATCACAAAGGGGATATAAATATATTAGAACATCTGATTCTGACCTTTCCAGAAGGAACTGAGGAGTCCATGAGTTGAACCAAGATGGCCTTAGCATAGACTTACTTTCTTGGTAAGCACAAAGCAAACTGAAGAAAAGGTCTTTCTCCCCATGGCTCCTGACTTCCTGACTGCTCTGTGATTTCATCTAGCTCCTGACCTCTAGTCATCAGCTGAGGAGGCCTCCAAATTTTAACACCTACCTACTCCTGAAGCTAAAGCATCCAATCACCAACTCAAATAGCCAATGCCACGGTCTTTCAGGAAGCAAAGTACCAAGGGTCCAAATAATCCCATCAAAAACCTTCTCAGTAAAGTAATTCCCACACAGGAAGTGAAACAGAGAGGCTCTGCTTGGCAGAGCAGGTGAGAAGGACAGAGGAACAGAACAAGGTAGAATGTGAATTGGGAATTTGCTGAGTCTAAAAATGTATCCTTGATGCACCATGCCCTCGAATTCCCATAGGGTACTGCCCAATGCTCCCTTCCCAGCCCCTGATGCAGTGCCCTTGACCAGGAAGCAGGCAGTATGCAGCGGCCCCAGAACTCTCCTTGACTCCCCTTCCTCTCCTTTCCCAGTGCCCACCTTCCCCACCTCTACCTCAATGGTATACTGCTCGAAGATGCGCAGCTGCAGGAAGATGTCCAGCTTGATCTTCCGCTCGTGGAACAGCTCCTCCATCTGCACCTGGGCATCATCCAGCTGCTGCAGGACTGACTCGATGTGGCTGATGGAGCTGCTGTGGGGTGCCTTGTTGTTGGACACAGCCGAGTCCCTGTGGCCGAGTAGGGAGGAAAAGGGAGAGGCCTTGCCATGTTAAAAGTGATATAGGGGCAGGGGGCCTTCCTCATCTGAGCAAGGTGGATGTGAATCGACTGGGTCATTCACGACATTTATCAAACTCCTCTTGTGACCCTGGGACTGTCTTTAGCAGGTGAACCAACGATACGTGTATCATCTTTGAGGTTCACAGCACTGTAGCTCTGAGACTAGCTGCTCTCCTAGTCCTCAGAACTGGGAGATGGATCAGACAAAGGAATGTACGGAAAGGGCTCTCCAAAGCAGAATACATTAGGGAGCTGGACCGGTTCCACACATACATGCAGCCTCTGATGCACAGGTTTAATACACACACGTACACATGCATGAGAGCAGACACATTGATCACAAGGCATAAGAGTCGGCAAATTAAAGGCATATGAAAAAAATCACCCTTCCTAGTTTTACCTCACAGGATCCTTGTTAAATAAAATGAGATCACAACTACCAGAATTATTCATCCACTTGACAATGCCATGCCAAAGTTATGGGCTTGTGCTGTGACCCAGGCTCCAGGCTGTTGTGAGGAAAGCATGGGCTCTAGAGGCCACAACCCAGATTAAGTCCCCACTCTGACACACACGGGCCTGTGGCCTTGGGAAATCACCTCCCGGAGCCCCAGCTGCCTCCTGTCAAGTGGACTTAATAACCCTCCCCCCCCGCCACCCTGCTCACTTTGTGGTTTGCTGTCAAGTAAGACCACGCATGTGAATGTGCTCTGTGACCAGAAACAAGCTGTGTGAATGGCCGTGAATCCTGAAAGGACACAGGAGAAGTGCCAAGCACTGACTGGGGCCCAGGCCTAGCTGTGGAGAGTAGAGCGAAGGGGCACAAGAGGCTGGGGCAACAGCAAGGTGGCAAAGAAGATGAGTTCTGATTTGGGCGTTATAAGAAAAGGAGGAACCCAGCCAAGCAGTGGGAGGCCTGCACTCTTTGAGCAGTAGAGTCTACGAAAGTGGCAGGGGGGAGGTGACATGTCATAGACGGGAACCAAAAGAAAACATGTTGAGCTGCTCAGAGAAGTAAGGGGTGGTGAGACCTTCAAAGAGATCATTATAATAGGACAATTACAGGTGTTCAGATGTTTAGAGTCTGTAGGGCCCTCAAGCTTACAATAAAGGGGCACATTCATTATCTTGTGGCCTCTTGGTTTCTTATACAATGTACAAAGGAGAAGGACAAGAGCAAAATCATCAGCAGGCCTTCTGACCACCAGTCCTGTCAGCCTGTGTTTGTCTCAGAAGCAGCTGTGTCTGAGCCCACACTGTTTCTGAAGGGGGCATAAGGCCCGTGGTCAGGAGCCCCTCCTTGTGTCATTCTGAGAGTTCCCTCTCCTCTGGCCTATTTGGGCACAAAACCCCACCGCCGCACAGATACCCAATCATGAACAGAATATAAGGCATGTACTTGATCCTCTGCATTATGCATTTGTTGAGCACTTTGCTGTTGGGAGGATATACTTGTTCTTTCTGACTGCTCCTCTCGGGCTGTTTTCCATCACGCAGCTTCCAGAAGGAAGAGAATGATCTCTGACCATTTTGCACGGCACCTAGTCATCATCACACTCACTAGGAATCACAGAGGTGATGCCAAAACCACCTGAGGTGCTTCAGTGAGGAGTGCCAGAAGAGTCAGGGAGATTGAGAGAAGATGTGTGCTCTGCTGGGCAGGAGGCTTTGTGCCCCTCTCCACTCTCTTCCTCTTCGGCGGGTCTTGAAATCAGGGACGGGAGCCTGGGCTAGAGTCAGGCTAGTGGGGGCGTACATGGTCACCAGTGGTTCTTGGTCACACAGCTAGCTAGGGTCCTCTCTGAAATCCATGGCATTTAAGTTGTAGAAGCAGACCTTCGCCATCACAGAGTAACCCTCAGCCCTTAGGCATCATGCAAGGTTGGCAGGTGAGAGCAAGGGTCATCCCCATAGACCCAGCCCACACAGAACGAAACCCACCAAGTTTGTGAACAGTATTTGGAGAGAAAACACAAAACCATCACAAAATTCTAGAGCTGACAGAGCTCTTGGAGTGACCTCCTTAATTACACAGATGAAGCAGCTGAGGGCCAGAGAGATTAAGAGACTGCCTGCTATTTGGAATTTTTTTTCAGTAGGGTTTCCTAGATAGGCAGACAAAATTCATGTATTACATATTAGTAAAGATGAACTGGGGGAAGAAGGGAAAGAGGCTGTCTTGTTAGTATGCAACAGGAGGACCCAAAACATCTCATGTGCATGCTTGGAATCGACACAATTAATTTCCAACAGAAAAACGTGCCAGAGCTATCTCAAGGTAAGTTCTCATTGTTTGTCTAATTGGACAGCTGGTACGGGGGTGGTGAAAAACCCTCTCCAATTCAAGTAATTCCCTCAGGCCCCAGGGCTGGCCTGGGACTTGCTGATGAGATTATTTCTGTCCGGAGCGGGCAGAGGTCCCAGCACTCGGTGATTTTAGGATAGAACAAGTCCCCGTGGGCAGACATCATTAGCATCATCAAGTCCTATTTATACAGCACCTGGGCACAGGGGTGGCGCTGAGGGCTTCCTTGAGGCCCCGTGACACTTTATCTGAGGAGCCCATGCCCTTGACAGGGACAGGAAGCTAGATATTGATGCCAACAGAAAGGAGGCAATGGTGTGGATGATTCTAAATGAATGTAAGGTTTTCAACAGGATTTTCCTTCTTAGTTATGTTTGTTTAGGTTGATACAGAGGGAGTTGTATTTTCTGGGCAGCAAGGAATGGTGGAAAGGTCATATGTGGGTAATGGAGAGTGGAGTGAGATAATGACACACATTCTCTAGATCCCCATGGGGCCAAAGCCAACCATTTTTGCCAACTGGGGCACTAGCATTCAGGGTTCAGCCCAAGATCAGAAGCCAAAGAACACTATATTCCATACTGGCTATTTCTCCACATAACCAAAAGTTCCATAATTCTTCATGAAGACGTTACTTATTTTCGGTTTAATGTTGTTAATTTTTGTGTCTATGTCACTTACTGATTGCTAAACAACCTCATGAATCATACGTAATTCTTTGAAACACCAGAGCTTTCCCATTTACTATTTCATCCTAAACTCACGTTGGGTATGGCCCAGGCTTTTTCATATCTGACAGAGGGAGAGACTGAAGCTCACACAGGACCACAAAGCCGGCTGTGGCTGAACCAAGACCGGGACACGACTTATCTCACATCTAGTCGAGGGCATTTCCCACTGGAAAGCACTGCCCATGCTGACCTGGCCTCGCTGGGCTCCCCCAGGGAGGGAGGCGCTGACCTGAGCTGCTGGATAAGGTCTTCGCCTTCCTTGATGACGTTGAGCGTGGCATCCAGAGTGGCGGTCTGCTGCTGCTGGAACTGCTTGATCAGTTCCTGGACCGCATCCACTGAGTCCGCACAAACATCCTCCAGCATCTCCTTCTGAAGGTCTTCCATCCATGTCCACAGCTGTGGGGGAGAGAGCAGAGACCCCACTCAGGGCAGACAGGAGAGGTCAGGGCAGGGGCCAGGGCAAGAAAGTCAGATAGGGGTCATCCAACCTACCCTCCACCAGTCAGTGACATGTTAGACTGTCCTTCTCACCAGCACACCTATGTTTATATTCATTGCTCATCTCTGCTAAGTTCACTCCATTAATGTTTCCGTTCCCTAAGGATGGGAACCACCTCTGGCTTAACTTCCCTGTGGTTCAGGGAAACTTGCAATCAAAGAGCAGGGGGGATCACTCATCTTGGAGAGGCTGGGAAGAACAGAGGACTGGGGAGGGACATATATTATTTCATCTTTCAGAAAGGAGGGCTCTGCACACTCCAGGCTGCTAGATGCTGATTCCTAGAAATGTATCATGATTTTGGAAACATGCAAAAAAGGAATGGGATGCTCAATAAGAACCAAATGAAGATTAATTTTAAAAATATGTGTTATGCTAAATTATTTTGTTCTTTTCAGGGCTGCTAGGTTGGTTAGAAGGTTGAATGCTAAAAATGTAGCTTATCTTAATTTCAATGTAAGTATGAGCCATTTCCCCCATGATAGTCAAGCACTGAAATGCAGCCAGGGTGATATTATTGGTCAGGCAACTTTAAAAGTGCTAAGTATAATGCTTTGAACAGAATAAGCACTGGAAATGATGAGGAGCTGGACTGAATTACTGAAAACCCATGAAATGATAGCTCTTCCTCATACTGAAACTAGGTCTCCAGTGGTCTGCCACAGGGCTCTACTCCTAATACTCCTACTGAGCATGCTCATAAAATGATGAAGGGAAAGATGAGTTTGATGCTTGCTTAGAAATAAGGAATCTTCACCTGGCTAGCCAGAAAGATAAGCTCAGTGCTCTACCAGGAAAAAAAAACCAAAACAGTACAGAGAGAAAATGGATAGAATCAGATGTGGATTTTGGCTCCTTTTCTTTTAACTCATCGTGGCTTTGAGTAAATCACTCCACCCTTGGCTCTCTGACTTCATGTGTAAAATAGGTTGAGGAAAGCACTAAATAAAATAAAGGTTAATTACCTTCTGGTTCTAACATTTCTGTAAGTCTTCTATGTTAAAAACATGGATAAATATCCACCTCAAGAATATTATTTCATCTAGTTAGTTCTCAGTATGGTAAATAAATCAAGGTATGGCCTTTGTAATTAGGGATAAGAAAAGAAATAATAGTGACAAAAATAGTCTCCAGATTTCAGACAAGTCATTCTTTGTTCTTTAGGTGGGAAAGGCTCCAGATATGGCAGAAGACGTTGAGTTAACAAGATAAACAAGCCTTAGAGACAGCATGTAAGGGGGTGGGGTATAAACAATGACCTTCTTGGACAGGTTAGAAACTCTCTGAGCCTCAGTTTTATAATTTACAAAATGAGTATAAGATCTGCTCTGCTCATCAAAGATTATGGGAATTAAATTACTTACTTATTATTAATGCTTTAAGTAAACATATAGAATTATTAATAAACCCTTGGCATTGTGATGATTGCTATAAGGAATACAAATTATTATTATTCAGTGTCCCTGTCATTTAGCAGCTTACAATCTAGTTGTAATTCAGTTTATTTCCTTTACAAAAAACCTTTTTTTATTGTAAAAACAAAAAACAAGTTTTCCAGACCATAGAAGCTGGGATACATATTCCTACATGTATGAATGTATTTATTTCAAATCAGTTTGAAACCAGGAAGTTCAGGATATTGGTTGCTGTTGCTTCATGTTATTTCATTTTGCCTAGAGAGCAAAAGCATTTTCTATAGGTGCTGAAGTCCCTGGGTAAAAGATAATGGGTTCTCTGAAAAAATTATTTATTATTTTATAAATTATTTTATAGAGAGGCAATAGAGCATAATGGTTAAGAGTTTTAAGCCCCAAGTTCTACCACATATCAGCTAGACAACCTTGGGCAGATAACCTACCCTCTCTGCACCTCAGTTTTCCTTATCAGTAGAGTGGGGATAATAATAGTGTTTACCCCCACAGAGTTGTAAATATTATTAATAAGTTGACACGTGTGTGTATGTCTGTGTGTACATATACACAAATAAGCAAGTTATATCTATATCTATCAATATAGATATCTGTATCTATATATATCATTTAGAAACTGTTACTAGCATATGGGAAGTGATAGATATTATATTTAAAAGATACTTTTGATGCAAACGCCTCCAGTTCCCACTAGAAGGCAGCGGGAAAGTCTGAAGTACTTCATTTTGGAATTGGTAAAAGATCAACACTGGATTTGGTCCTTCAGTATGCTAGGCTGAGCTAGGCCTCTCTTTGCTGTTTTTGCTGCTTTGTCCTGGGATGTCTAAGGAAAGCCTAGAGACTGAAAAGTCTAGATATTTCTAAAGGAAGGAAAGTAGAAAGAAAGAAAGAGAAAGAAATAAAGAAAGAAAGAAAGAAAAAGAAAGAAAGAAAGGAAAAGAAAGGAAAGGGAAGGAAAGGAAAGGAAAGGAAAGGAAAGGAAAGGAAAGGAAAGGAAAGGAAAGGAAAGGAAAGGAAAAGAGGATGTGAAGAGAGATAAAAATTCTTAAT